GCCGGCTCTCAGCGCAGCGCGGCGCGACAGCGGCCCCGGCCCGGCCCCTGCCCGGCCCGCGCAGGCAGCTCAGGTAAGCTGGGGAGCCGCTCTGCTCCATCAAGGGGCACTGCTGTCAGAGAGCCAGGCTGGAGTGCCCGTAGGTGGCTTTTCAAGTTATCTCAGCACCACCAACTCCAGACAGGTTTCGCTGAGAGCGTTCAATGAACTCTAGGTTCAAAACTTTTTCCAATTCACACAAAACTTTGAAGGTTTTCTGCGGCAGAGCAAAGAGATTTGGGATTTAATTTTAAATGTTGAGAGGTTGGGCAAGACTATGTATTACATACGCTTTCCAAGTGAGCTACACATTGAATCCTGCCTGTATTAAGAAATCTTTGGGGAAAGGGGTGGGGGAGGATATATTGTAGCACAGCCCTATGTTCTGATCTGATCTTCTCCAGATTCGCTTATGTCTTTCTAAAGAACAGAGTGCGAAACACTGCTACATGGTAGTGGATTTGTTAGTGCTTTTTTTCTTGTAAATCTCAATATATTTAAAAAAATAGAAAAACACTGTTAGGAATACATTTTAGGATTAGGATGAATCTAGTTTAAAATGAAAGAACAGTTTAAGCTTCAAAAGAATTTTTATAAAGGCTATTCTGTCTTGAAAGTATATACCAATTTGTAGGAGGAAGTAACTATCACAGTTTTAAGTTCTTTTTACTTCAGCTCCAGTCACTGGATAAATGACCAACCACGTTAAAAATTAAACATAAGTTATCCTCTCTAGAGTAATATTTTGGATGATCATTTATTATGTAAAAATACTAATTTAAAAGGAAAAACTTATATAGAATTTTCAACCATTATGAGTTACATCTAACCTTGAGCAGGCTATTGCTATAAATTAACCCTTACAGTATGATAATTGAATATTCAGCAGATTCTGAAAATCTACATATTTTACTTTACTTTTCAAAATAAAAATCAGCAGAGGAATTAAAAATGAAAGATATGCTATGTCAAATTTAAAACATTAGGAGATGCAAAATGATTTATCATTCAAACTTTATCTGGCCTGAACATATTGTAAAATAAAACTTAAGAACTGTATGACAGAATTAATTACCTTTTTAAATAATCTCTTCATGTTTGTAAGTATACACAGTACAAAGTCAATTCATAGGCTGTCATTTTTGTCGAGTCACTCTAAGACTGAAAAATGCTTAATATTGTTGGCATTTGAATTACCACATAGGATCTGTTTGGATGTATAGTAAAAGTTTAAGAGAAGAGCCAAAAACCCATTGCTGTCGAGTAGATTCCCACTCATAGTGACCCTATATGACAGAGTAGAACTGATCCACAGGGTTTCCTAGGCAGATTGCCACATCTTTCTCCTAAGGAGTAGCTGATGAGTTCGAACCCGACCTTTCAGTTAGCAGCCAAGTGCTTAACCACTGCACCACCAGGGCTCCTTAACAGAAGAGCAGAGTACTATAATTATCAGAGATGTATGTGAGTGTTATAAAATCAAATTTTGTTTATATTTCACTGTCAGTAAGAAGAAAAAGTCATAGAAGATTTATTATCATTTAAAACATACCATTTCTTTTACATGCTCAAAATTTGCAATCTGTATGTTTCTAGTAATTCCTGTGGTTGAGATTTTTAAAAATATATGACATCAGTGTCTACAATTTTTGCTTCAAAAGAGTTTTGTTTTGTTTTTGCTAATTTTGTTTGGTGCAATACAAGGCTTGGTTTTAGTATTCTAAAAGAAAAATTACATGTTATTTGGCCTGAAGTTAAGGCTATATAAACTGCAGGTTAGTGCTGAGAAGTAGGCTTTCCCCAAAACTATTCTTTGAAACCTAGGGAAGCCTACCATGAGAAGAGAGAGGGGCCAGCACCCAGGTCACTGTGGAGAAGTACGGAATGTGCAATAGAAAAGTTGTTTATTTGATATAGGCTGTAATTGGAAACTGAAAAATCCTTGCCTTGGGAAAAAGGTTATTCTGCTCTTTTGAATCTAATAGAGGAGGAGGGAAACAAAAACCATTAATTATTGTTTCAGTTATACCCAAAGTACCATCTATACCATAAACTATAGCTCAACTGTTGAAAATCATAACCTCTATCAAAGCTCTAACAGCTGTGTTTCCCAAAGTCTGCAATTTATTTTTTTAAAGCAGGCTAGCATCAATTTAAAAAAAAAAAATTTTAAATGACAAACTTCAATATTCCACACCTTTTCCCATTTGTTAACTTTAAGGTATGGTTCAAAGAACAATCACCCATGAAGACGCCTTTTAAAACTGAAAGTTAAACAAGATTTATCGTGGATACATATCTCACAGCGGTCTCTCTGAGTGAACATTTCTTAGTCCTTGGGACAATCTGTATGATGAAAAAATGTTTTTTGATTGAATAAATGTGAATTTTACACTTGCAAATAAAGCACATTCATTTTGTGCTTAAGAAATTTATGGAAAGTATTTTTGCCCCTTTACAGTGACTAACCTTAACTGTTAAGCACTAGTATTTCGTGATGTTTTCCTAATGCTGGGATGAAGTCTATAGTACCAGCCAATATGAAAAATATGAATCAAGCCTTGGCTTTCTTAACTTTCACATCCACTTGCAATTCCCATTAATTGGCCTCTTCAGAAGGCTGTTTCATGGTTCTCTGCTGCCCCTTCCCCTCCAAAAAAGTGCCTATGGTAATAAATGAGTTTTGATGTAATAAAGTTAATTCTGTTCTGTCTATACTTAGTGCTTCAGGGCAAAGCAAAAACTTTACAAAGTGAACAGAGGAAGAAAATACAGCCCCTCCTACTTAAAGGAAAGAGGAAAGGGGGCTGGAGAGAACTGCTTCCAAAAGACTGGATATTGTGAGTAATTCAGAGGATGTAAAGCAATATTAGTCTCAATCTGTCTCAGGAACTGAAATGCCCCATCTGTTACTTACAAAGTCAGTATCTTTGAAAAATCTAACACATCCTACCTTATTCTCTTGGGCATATCATTAATTTTAAATAATTTTTAGGGTTTATTTAAATTGCATTCGACTACCCATTTAACTTCAATTGTTTAGTTTCTGCAAGTTATGTTTAAATAAGGATTTAAAGATGAAGAGACACTGCAATATGCAGCCAGCATCAGAAACCTTTAAAGAAATATTTCTATGGCTGCCTCTGCAGTCACCAGAGGATGTCTGAGCCACCAACCCAACTACTTCTACATTTCCTTTTCTGGTACTTAATGTGTGCTACAAAGGCTTTAAAACTCCTCTGGCTGGTCAGTTCCTACTTCTGAAGTAAGCCAGGGCATTCACGTCTTGAATCTTTTTGTTAGGCAAACTGATTCCTTGTGGGTCATCACCAGTACTGTTGGAAGCCCTCTCATACCCTTCTTTTTCTTAAAAACAGAGTTGAGATTCTCTCCTCCCGACCTTCATCTGCACTAACACTGCCACTGATTGGGAAAGCTGGGCAAAAAAAGGTCAGAAGGCTTGCTTAAGGAAAGTCCCTTGGTTCTTTTTCAGATATGGGAGAAGCACTCCCTCTTTATCTTGTTCTCTCGGATGCTTTAGCAGGTTAAGATGGGACAGCAGCAGTTTTAATTCTCAGCCCAAGAAGAGAGAGTGATAGTCTAGCAGGGTTCTTTCATTATTCTGACTATTCCTTAACATTCCTATGTCCTACTGGTTCCAATGTAAAATTAGCTCTTAAAGATACATTTTTTTTTTTTCGTAATGAATAGATGTGTTTGTGGGGAGGCAGGGTGGACAGTGAGGTATGTAAGTGTGTAAGTAGGTAAGTGTATCATGGGATAGGTAGAGGTGCAGACAAACGTACAACAAATTCCTTGTTTCTGTTTAAGATAGCTACTGATTCTAGCCTAGAGCATAGTTATTATCAGCAAAAGAGAGCCTATGTTACGTCAGAATGACAAATGCCCAACTCCACAGATAGGAGTTTCAGAAATGCCTTGCTAACTTCTTCTGTATGGACAATGGAATGCCCCAGACCCCAGAGAGTATGCACAGAACGTTATAGCTGGAAGAGGCCTTGGAGGTCATCTGATTCACATGCCTTGCTTTATAGGCAAAGAAACTGATATCTACAGTGTGACTTGTCCCAGAGATACAGAGCTACTCAGAGGCGCAGCCAGGGTCCACTGCATTCTTGGGCTTCAGCCTACCTTTTGTTTCCTCCTTAAATTAGTGGTAGAAGGAGAGAACAAAATCCTCAGAAGAAGCCTCAGCCCTGTAAATGGTTATCTGGATATAAAATCCATTTAAAAAAGAAAGTTGAAAGCCTTAAAGCTCTCTTAATAAGTACAAGCAGTAAGAAGGCAAAGGGACAGGAGGGAGGTGAAAATCAATACAGTTCAACTAGGCTATAATAATGCAAAACCAAACCTGTTGCCATCAAATCGATTCCAGCTTATGGGGACCATATGTGTGTTACAGAGTAGAACTGCTCCATAGGGTTGTCTTGGCTGTAGTCTTTAGGGAAGCAGATTACCTGGCCTTTCTTCCATGGTGCCACTGGGTGAGTCTGTACTGCCAACCTTTAGGTCAGGAGTTGATCACAAACCATTGCGCCATCCAGGGACATCATAACAATGGAAGGAGGAAGATTAAGGGGAGACAAAGAAAACAAATAGTAAATGCACTTAAGGTCCTCTGGGTGGCAAAGCTTACTCCCTGACTGCAAGCTGAGGGGTGCCCTGGAAAGTGTGTGTGTGTGTGTGTGTGTGTGTGTGTGTGTGTGTGTGTGT